CAAAGCATACAAATAAAATAAAGTTAACCAATGACATTATTGCAGCCATTAATGAAAGCAGTTCACCAACAGTAAGCTCAAGGACATACATATCACTCAACCAAGGCCTCCAATGCCGAGTTGAAGAGACCATATTCCTTTCCCTGTTTTCATAGTCACAGAACCTAATTTCTGTGCGTGCTTTACAGAGGTTCATGGTGAGGCCTCTAAAGGTTTGTTCATCATTGAATATTATAAGTAATTATGTTCCCAGGCGGCAGTTCAGGGCCCAGTACCACACTGGAACAACACCACAGGCGGGTCAGGTGACCTCTCTCCCCTTCTCCTCTCTCTGGTGCTGAGGACAAAGTGATATGTCTGTCATCCGCCATTACCATTAGAACAGAATCTTGTTCTTTTATTACAACTGAACTCCGCCAGATTTCTCAGCAGGTATGCTAAGTGAAATCAATGTCTTGGATTTCCAGGCTGAGCTTGGAGGTCACAGCCACTCTATCATTTCTCAGCATTATCCTTTCTCGCACGCGTACACACTCCCCAAGCCTCCAACTGGCACACAGCAGATTGAAAACAGCATGCATCAGAGGACCCATGCTGTACAATTTTACAGTCTTTTGGAGTCCCCCTCCTTTTGATTCCCCCTTTTATTTGTGTTTTTTTTTTCAAATTGCAAATAAGTTTTGTTTGTGTCCTTCTCCAGAGTTGTGAGTCAAAGGCAAAGGCATACCCAGGAGGAAGGGCAGGCAATAAAACCAGAGAGCATGATTTTTGACAGCTGCCAATAAGATCATTTTCCTTACATCATCACTTGGATGTGACTTATGAGTCCATTGTTCTGAACAATAGACTTTCAATGTAAACCATCAGGTTTATGCTGGGTAGGTATACAGACAATTAAAGCCCTTTAATAAAATAATTCTATGACATAAAGATGGACATGAAAATTCACTAATAAAACACATAATAATACCCCCTAGGACACTAAGAATTTATTGGATAAAATCTTAAATGCAATAATAAATGTTAATTATTATATAGAAGTAAAATATCTTCGCAAAGTGAAACTATTTATTATGCTATCTATAAATGTCAATTCCAGACTATAAACAACTAAATTAATATCTTGAAAGGGGTAGTCTTTATTTACTGCTTGGTTTTATTTATTTTGGACCATGTTCTTCATTCAAGTGATGATGGCAATATTTAATGTCAGGCTATTTTTAACCTATTAAAGTTTACTGCTGAGTGAAACACAAGCACCTTTAAAGCATTTTTTTTTTTTACAATAAGTGCTTGTAGAGAGTATGCTAGAGGATACTGAGCAAAGAAAGGACAGCTTTTCATTATATTGTTGTTGTTACTTATTAGTAAAAAGAGGAATTTCATTTGTGTTGAACTTTTTATGTATTTAACAATAATTATAAATGAAAGGATATATAACATCCACAGTTATTTTTTATTTTTTATTTTATTGATTTTTTACAGAGAGGAAGGGAGAGAGATAGAGAGTTAGAAACGTCTATGAGAGAGAAACATCGACCAGCTGCCTCTTGCACACCCCCTACTGGGGATGTGCCCGCAACCAATGCACATGCCCTTGACCGGAATCGAACCCGGGACCTTTCAGTCCTCAGACTGATGCTCTACCACTGAGCCAAACTGGTTTCGGCAACATCCACAGTTTTATTAAACTTTATATAATAGAAAAATCACGAGGGCTAATTTTCTTTCTTTTTTTGTTATAAATAAGTTTATTGATATGTAGAGAGAGAGAGAGAAAGGAAAGGGGGAAGAAAGAAAGAAACATTAATGTGAGAATACAACATGGATCTGCTGCCTTTGCTTGCCCCCTAACTGGGATGGAGCCTGCAACCCAGGCATGTGACCTGTCTTGGGAATCAAACCAACGACCTCCTGGGACAATGCCCAACCAACTGAGCTGCACAAGCGAAGGCAAGGCTAATTTTCAAAGAAAACTGAATTTTAAAGGTAAAATACAAATATATTTGTTAAATTATATACAATCATAGATACAGAAACAACCTATTTTTTTTGCTAATATTAAATAACACAGATATGTGAAACCATAAAATGTGGCAGAATTTTAACAATTTTTAAATAATCAGTTCTATACACAGTCTATAAAGTCCTATGAGTGTCTAGAACCATACAGTTTATAAAGCAGCATCCTAATTTTAGCAAAGAAAACCTCAGTCACTTTTATGTTTGCCATTGTTATCTAAGAACAATGCTCAATAAACATCTGAATGGATGAATGGATGCAAAATTCGATAAGATTGACTAACACCAAAAGCTTCATGATTAAGTGATTTGGGGAGAAGACATTAATGATACTTTGAAATGGTAAGTAATAACACAAAATGTCCTATACAAAATAATACTGAATGTGAACTGTAATTAAAAAATTAAAAAATGTCCTACTGTAAAGCATCATTATAAAGCATGATGTAAAAAAAAAATAACATTAGTTAAATCAAGAGAACAACAATAATACCACACAGAGTTATTTGTGTGTGACAATGACTATGTGGATACAGCCACTTATTTTATTTAAACTTAGTATGTATATGTAATATATTAAAACTGCTGGCCCATGAGACACTGCTTTAAAATTAAATTGTATCGACTAAAGGTTATAATTTTATCAAGTTTGAGAAAATGTATGCTCTAAACTGACAGTTGTAGGGGAACAGGGGGAAATGGGTGAAGGGATTAAGCGGTAGGAATTGGTGGTTACAGAAGTCACAAAGACGTGGATTACAGCATAGGAAATACAGTCAATTGAGTCATGATGACTCTGTGTGGGGCCCAGTGGCTGCTGAAGTAGCAGGGGAACCACTCTGTAAAATAACATAATTTTCTAGCCACTTTGCTGTATATGTGAAACTAATACAGAATACTATTGAATGTAAACTGTTATTGAAAAAAAGGTATGTTCTGCTGTCAGTATAAAGTAAAGCAGACCAGGCCTTAGGTATATATTAAGCACTCAACATGCAAGGCCCGTTACACAGCTGAAGAGATCTGAAAGTGGCATATGTATATTTCCTAATGTCACTAGTGTGTATAATCATTTGTACTGTATATTTGTATATACTACTGTGGAGTCACTTCTAAGGCCCCTGTCCAGGCTAAATTATACTTATATGCACCGAGTGGCCAGATTATTATGATCTCTGAATGCATAATAATCTGGCTTGGTGCATGAATTCGTGCATGGGTGGGGTTGGGTCAGGGAAAGGTGACGTGGGCAGTTGGCTGGCCTGCCTTCTGGTCAAACTCCTGGTCGAGGGGACAATTTGCATATGAGCCTTTTATTATATAGGTTATACACTGAGTGGTCAGATTATTATGCATTCAGAGATCATAATAATCTGGCCACTCGTTGCATTTCTCTCTTATTAATACAGCAAAAGACTTCAGAGTTTTGAGAAGGCAGAGGTTAGAGAACACTTTCCAAACTGACCCCTTCTCTTTCCAGTTCAGTCTCTGGATTAACTGGTTTACTGTGAAAGGTAGCAGTCAGGGCACAAGAGGCTTAACACATTTCTTGGATTTTTTCCCCTCTGTTAATACTTTCTAATTTTTTTTTTTCATCTGTGTGACTATGACTACTCTTTCACTGTTACTCTTTAGACATTTAAGTGTGGCTTTCATGGACTGAAGAATAGAAGCAATTTTCTAGGTAATTCAGCAAAAAACAAGCACTGAGGATATATAACTGTATCAGTTTTCTACTTACCATTTTCTAATAGGTAGAGACTATGTGCAATTATTTCCCTAAGTAATCTCAGGGAAAACTACTTTATGGCTATTCTTCTTAATTCATCCATAGAAAGTTTAATGTCTTTACACATATCATATAATAAATTAGGTCTTTACAAATGCAGAAATTTAATTTTTCTGCATTCCTCTTCTTCTAAATTAAGAAACAAATTATTAAAACCTCTCCTGATTCTTTTTCATGTTCTCTCAGGAAATGTTTCTTTAGCTCCTAAAACTAAACTAGCTCTAAACAGTATTACTTCTAACACTATTATTATCTTCATACTAGAGGCCCAGTGCACGAATTTATGCATCAGTGGGGCCCTGCAGCTGGCCTGTGGGATCGGGCTGAAACAGGAACAGGTTCTCTATTATCCCCTGAGGGGTCCCGGATTGTGAGGGGGTGAAGGCCAGGCCAAGGGACCCCACCAGTTCACGAACATGGCCAGAGAGGGATGTGGGAGGTTGGCCAGTCGGGAAGGGACCACGGGAAGGCTCCCTGTGTGTCGGCCATTTTGCTCATTCCTGATCAGCCAGACCTCAGCAACAAGCTAACCTAGTCTTGGTGGTCAGTGCACATCATAGCGAGCAGTTGAGTGGCCTTAGTATATCATTAGCATATTATGCTTTGATTTGTTGAACAGTCAAGCAGACACTTAGGGTGATATGATTTTATTATATAGGATCTTTACCTGACAATTACATTGGACGAATGATATATCTAAAATTAAACTTATACCATTAACACCTTTTAAGTGATTGATATTTAAATCAAACATTTTCTATATGCCCTCATCATACTCATATTTTAAGTTCCATTTCAGTCATCCCTTCTTTGGGAAACCTTTCCCACAGTCTCTCACGAAAGGTAATCTCTCTGTCCTAGTAACATCCAAAGCACTTTATCTGTAACTCTTTATAAGACTTTGTATCATAGAATGTGGGTATCCATTTTTTCACAATGTAAGCTAGTTGTGTACAGTATACTATCTCATAAATCTTTGTAGCACTCGTTTCTTATAATAGCCATCTGTGGAATAAATAATGCTACATGTATGTAAATTTACACACACTGATCCTACTGGACTCTTATCTCCTTGAACACCCACAGTTTAGCCTCACCACTGCTGGCACATAATAGATATTCAATACATAACACTGAATGAAAAGTAAAACTCGAAATGGTAAAATATATAGCTTCTTCAAAAGGGTACCTTGCTTTTGGGTGGCGGGCTGTTTGTGCTCTTGTCTGTGTGAATGCTGGTAGGAGATACAGCAGCACCGAGGTTGCCTTGGGGTATGCCTGGGAGCTTTCCTCCTGGGGACACCTGCATCGCAGCCAGCTGGGCAGCATATAACTGCTGCAGAAGAAACAGAGAGAGGGGGGAACATTGAAAGACTCAGTGACAAAATTAATGCACCCTTCAGACAGTACCTACTTTCAGATACGGTATTTTTCCTATGGGTATGTTTGCTTACTGCCCTGGAATACTTAAAGAAAGAAGCGGTCACCTAAACTTCCATGACTTCCCTTTTTGGGAGGAGTAATAGAGACTACATATAAGAGGTTTCAGCTTCGGCCTGCACAGAGGTTCTAAGCAAATAACAGGCTATAGCATTACTCTTTCCCAAGATCTCTGGAAGGCAAGTATAGCATTCTTTGGCCAAGACCTCTTTTTGTTGTACATATTTTAAATTTTACACAGTGTGTTACAAAGACGGCAGCTTCATGTACAAAGTAAGTTTCCTATTATTCATGTTTAAAGTACTATGCCTTCCCTCCCCCCCCCCAGACTTGTTGAAATGAGCACCTGTAACAATTTTTTGTGATTGTTAGTTGTGTAGAAATACAAAAAGGAAAAGAAAAAAAAAAGGAAAAAAAAAAAGCCATTGAGCAGGAATGGAAGGAGTTTTGGAAGAACATTACCTGGCCAGTCTACCTACACTGATAAAAATTAAGATGTTGCCAGAAGTCAATAATATCTAAACAAAGACAAACCTGAAATTATCTTGAGGATTTGAGGTTTCAGGATTGCTGTCTAAACATACATAGTTTGCTAGGCCATCACATAATCATGCTTACTAAATAACCAATAAAATATTTTAAAAGTCAATTTAATAATAGAGTAAAGTTTTAATTTGATAATGATAGCTATATGATGTGGCATCTTAAAAAAGGAGGTTGTTTTAGACTCATGTGGTCATATAAAAATTTAAATTAATATATTTTTTTTTCATTTTTATTTAGCAGTATGTGAAAAATTTTAAATCTGGATGAGGGGACAATATATAGTAATTTTTCCTGAACTCTGATAAAAACTACTCACTATTCCCAGATCACTGCATTTGCCACCAAGCATATCAATTTTCCTCATTGGCCTCTATTTTGAATACATTTTAATTTGTATCAAGTTTCATGTGTTCCTTAAATTTACATTACATTACAGAAGCATAAAAAGGCTTCAAGTGTTAGAGAATCTAATGTACCTCAGGTCTGCTGGAATTTTAACATAAACCAGACATTTTATTACTGCTGAATCTTAATCTGGTTATTCACAAATTAACAAGAAATTTCAGTGGATTTAAAGAGGCCGACAATGGTTCTCATACCTGGCTATATATGTGAGGGATGGTAACTTACAAATTAAATGCTGTGACATCATTCAACCTTATAAAAAATTAAGGTAATTTGTCTATCTATTTATTTTATTTTTAAAATATGTTTTTATTGATATTTTACAGAGAGGAAGGGAGATGGATAGAGATTTAGAAACATTAATGAGAGAGAAACATAGATCAGCTGCCTCTTGCACACCTCCTACTGGGTATGTGCCCACAATCAAGGTACATGTCCTTGACTGGAATCAAACCTCGGACCTTTCATTCTGCAGGCCAACGCTCTTTCCACTGAGCCAAACCAGTTAGGGCTATCTATCCATTTAAATATGCATGTTGAGTGATGTTAAAAGAATGGAGTAAAGAGATGATTAATATTTTATTTATTACACACTCTTAAGGCAATAACAATAATGTCTGTACTCAGTGAGATCTACAGTCCCAGAACTACTGGTTGACCTTGCTGAGGGGAAAAGGGTGACATGCAGTGGGGAATGAAAAGCTATCCGTAGTTATAAGCATCCTGTGAACTATAAAGCAAAACCAGGTCTTTTATATGCATATACAATCCTATATAATAAAAGCCTAGTATGCAAATCAACTGAATGGCAGAACAAATGGCGGAATGACCAGTGGAACAACCCATTGCTATGATGTGAACTGATCACCAGGGGGCAGATGCTCAAGGCAGGAGCTGCCCCAAGCCAACAAGCCCCAGGTCTGCCAAAGCGGGTGCCAGCAGGGGGCCCAATCACCCCGGCAGTCACCCAACAAATTGGCCCTGATTCCCAGCCAGGCCTAGGGAACCTACCCATGCACGAGTTTCAAAATCGGTGCACGGGTAGGGTCCCTAGGTCTGGCCAGTGATCAGGGCTGAGTGGGGCCTTCTGGCTGCCAGCTGAGGCCTTCCTTCATTCTGCGCCACCCTCTAGTGGTCAGTGAATGTCATAGTGAGCAATCGAACTCCCAAGGGGACATTTACATATTAGCTTTATATAGATAGGTATAGATAGATAGATAGATAGATAGATAGATAGATAGATAGATATACACTAAAACAAAAGTTTAACATTTTCCTTGAAAGGATGGCAGATAAAGCCAAGAGTTAAATAATAAGATGCATTATAATAAATATACTTTAACTAACAGTTAAGTTGTTCTAAACATAAAAAACAAATTGAAACTCTAAACATAAAGAACTAAAGCTTTATAATAATTCTCACATCATGAGGTTAACCAGACTAACAGAATAACTCTTTTGCCTTGCACAATAACTTGACCATTATCTTAAAACTAATGAACACACAACATCATAGACCATTAGGTTTGCTAGTCTTTATATTGCTTAAAATATTCCATTTTCATTCCATTTCCCTCTTCATATCCCTGTAGTAAATCAACAATGATTTAAAAAAAATAAACAATCACATATGATTAAATTATATCTATTAATACTCATTGATTAGTTAGTGCATTCTTGGTGGTCATGTGTTCATAAGTATGTTTCTTTATGTGTAGATACATATAAATAATCCTCAATTTTGTCTCACGTTGTTCCATAATCCTACATTTTTGTCTCTCCAGCAATTTGAGCTCTTTTAAGAACCATGATTTCTACCTCTCGTGAACTAGTTAAAAGTAAGGCAAACCTCAATTCTAATCCCATGTCTGATTAACTTTGGGCAACTAAAATGAGGCACAAATCCATAATCTGCAAATTCAGGGATAAATGAAACTGAGCTTCAGAGGGTTGTTGTGAGAAGCAAATCACATAGTGTGTATAAAATACTCAGAAAAACACATGGTGAAGAATACTGAATAAATAACTAATAATTTTATATGTCTTTATTGATTTTTTAAAAATATATATTTTATTGATTTTTTACAGAGAGGAAGGGAGAGAGATACAGAGTAGAGAGTTAGAAACATCGATGAAAGAGAGTCATCGATCAGCTGCCTTTTGCATGCCCCCTACTGGGGATGTGCCTGCAACAAGGTACCTACATGCCCTTGACCGGAATCAAACCCGGGGCCTTTCAGTCCACAGGCCGACACTCTATCCACTGAGACAAACCGGTTTCGGCTCTTTATTGATTTTTAGAGAGAGAGCAGAAGAGAGAGAGATAGAAACACTGCTGAGAAAGAAACACTGATTGGCTGCTTCCTATAGGCCCCCTCTTGGAGATCAAGCCCATAGCCTGGGCATGTGTCCTGACCAGGAATAGAGCCAGCTACTTCTTGGTTCATGAGTCGATACTCCACCACTGAACCACACAAGCCAGGCAACTAGATAGTGCATATGCTAATACTCTGCTATATACTCTGGACTATGGTAGTAAGGTAAAGGATACAGAAAATGAATAAACATAATTTCTTTCCTAAGTAAAGATTGATAAGCATAAAACAGTGAGACTATTCATGTATTATAACTGCATGCTACTGAAAAAACAGTAAATGAGTTAGTGCATTCTGATATGTTTTTATAAAATATATGTAGCTAAGTTGAGCATAAAAAATGGAGGTGGCATTCTAGAAAGGGATAATAATTTAAAGAAAGGTACAGGGGCAGGAGTGAGTTAGTTGTTGCAAAGGGAACACATTATAGGGTGGAGCAGTGAGTAGCTGAGAGGATATGGTAGAAAGAACAATGACCTAATTGAGTGTATGTCCTGGGCAAAGTACAATAATACTGAATTTATAGGCTTAGTTCACCTTCTAGAAAAGCTTGAATTACAGGGAAAAGGGTTTAAATTTAATATGTGGACAAGAGAAAGTCACTGAATGTCTGAGAGCAATATATATGGCATTTTTAACTAAAATAATGATAAGGCAAAATGATCAATTATGAGGTTATCAAAATTTTGTAGTGATATTTTTAATGATAACTTGAGTTGAAAAGTAACTGTTGTGACAACGAAGATCGGAAAAATGACTGCAAATTCATATTAACTGGAGAAAACTAAAAAGAAACTGAACAGGATGAAATCATATAATTTATATAGTCTTCATTTTATAGATATAGTACATAAATATTCACCTATCATACATTTTCATTAGTATACATAGTCATTGTTATCTTTGTAAGACAGCCAAAACACATATATTTTTTTCCTTAAGGAAAAAAGAGAAAGAAAAACATGAAGAAGGAAGTAACAGAGAAATTTTTCTATTATTTAGCATTGTGGTAGTAAAAATGCTAGAATTATTCAGTCACAGGCTTCCCCTAACATATAGCTCATTAAACACTTTAAGTATTAAGAGCATGTTGCAATGTACTGTAACAATATGAGCTTTAATTGTATTTATCTTAGTCAAACCTAATCAGTGTTTATTTATTTTTTGGCCTGTGCCCTATGTACCAAAGTACTACTAGGCTGACAGTGGGCTGGGAGTTCATTAGCAGGCATTCTTGGTGCTGAGTTGTAATGATCCAATGTGTGGTCAAAATAAAGTTTGGTCTGGTCAGTATGGCTCAGTGGATCAAGCACCCCATGCACCAAGAGGTCACTGATTTGATTCCCGTCAGGGAACATTGTGGGCTTGATCCCCTACTCCGCAATAGGTGGAGTGAAGGAGACAGCTGATGCATATTTTTCTCTCATTGATGTTTCTATCTTTCCATTCCTCTATCTCTAAAATCAATAAAAAACAAACAAACATGTTTTAAAAAAGTCTAAGGGGATGATAAAGAATACACATTTTAACTTTAGTGAATTAGTACAGGTTATAGTGTTAATTAATCTGC